TTTATAATGAAATTGTGTTTTTAACGAGTTAGGATTAATTTCGAGACATTTCTGGTCTCATACAAGTTCAGAAGATAACACGTTTGCACGCATTTCAGACCATTTAACCTGTGCACAAGCGTTAAATTATTACTTGTTTTAACGCGTGCTAACCTGCGTTAGGGTATCAAAAATATTTCATGGGCTGTAAAGGCGTACCTCCGATTGTGCACGATCAATTTCAATTTGATTATTATTCTGACTTTTATTATTAACTTCCATGATTGCACGACAAATAAAAAATGCGTAAAAACATTACAAGGACAAAGTAATGTTGTAAAAAAACAACAATAGAAAAGAATTGGATAAGAAGAAAAAACAATGGCTTTTAGACACTGCTGTCAATGATGACGAATTAAACAAGATTACTTTTACAAACACACAATATCATCTTGTGTCATTCAGAGAATCAATTCAGACAATCATACAAGAGCATTTTCACGATGGATGATCTTTTTTGCATCGTTTTCAGGATGCTCATAATTTCAGTCAATTTGTCATTCATTTTAAGTTCACTTTTTTTGAGTTCGTCAAATCTTTGCATTGGCTGATCATTGACTTCGTCAATCTTTGCACTGACATCGACGGCAATCTTGTCTATTTTTTTGTTCAACTTGAACTTAGAAAGCTTGAAAATGCCGACATCTTTTTTAAGAATAGCCACTATTCCACCTTGCCCCATGAAATCGAAATCGCCTAAGTTTTGCCGATTAATCGCGATTTCGAATCCAAACGGTGATGAATCGCGATCTTGTCGCGGCGGTGATCAAGCATTTTTTTCAAACACGTCACATCAGATCGTGTGACATATTTGACATCTGCGGATGACTTCGGATAATCGCACCCTAAGGTTGCATTTTGACTGATAAAAATTTCGGATTTGCACCAATGTATAGTATAATGATTAAACTATATAATACACATGCTAAACCTTTATAGTGTACGATGCAAGGTCCTCTTCTTTTTGTGATAAAAATTTTTTTTCTTTGCATTATGGTACTACATCTATGTAATGCACTGTAAATTCGTGTTCCATATAAGCGGGTGACATTTTCACCCACTTATGTGTGTCATCATCCATCAAAGTGGGTGATTTTTCTTTGTTAAGAAAGGCGAATTTTTTCACTGATTTAGTCTTTGATTAAATTCAAAACTTTCACCAATAAATTTTCTTCTACCAAAACGAAAATGAAGTGTACGTAAAATACAAGCACTTTCTTAGCTTTATTCCTGGGTGATTCTTTTGAAAGCGTATCAGACTTTACATTGACCTTGTCCAAATGGTCGAGAGTAACAGGACCACCACAACTCGGGCTCCTGACGAATATCACGTTTAAAAAGTTGTCAAATCACAACGGTATGGTGGCCTTCTAGACCTGTGGAAATCCCATTTCCCAGCGAACAGACCGTTTGTGGGCATTTTCACCATTTTCTAGTGAAACATTTTCATGAGCTGGTACCGTCAGATTAGATTCTATATGTACAGAGCTACAAAATCACTAGCGGACAAAATGTTTCAAAATGTTAAGTACGTCCTCAGAAAAATTTTTAAAAAAATCCTTTTTTCCGAAAAGTAGGACTTTTTTGTAAACCATTTTTTCCCCATAAAAGCATATCAACACAAAACAACATGATATGTATTCGCCGCGTCTTTTCAAGCTCTATCCGATGCAGTGGTTAAAACTGAGATTAGAAAACACTTAATGCAAGGGAACAAGAGCTTTTGGAAGCGATTCCCCTCGTATTTCGAAGTTTGAGTACGTGCCGCACCATTCTGCGGGACTGCAGGACGTGGGATGACATATATTTCGCATGTACTCGATGTGGGCTATTAGAAAGCAGGTTTCGTTAAGGGCCAAAGACCTTCGGAACAGCCGGAAATTCTGTGGGATTTTCGCTGGAAAAGCATCTGTTTCAAAGGTTTTTGGCTCTTAACGAAGCCTGCTTTCTAATAGCCCATATCGAGTTTCTCGAGCCCACAATTTGGACAAGGTCGATGTAAACTCTGGTACGCTTTCAAAAGAATCACCCTCCTACAAAAACAAAAATTCTTCAGATAAGGTATCGTCGTTATGTTAACACAAGAAGTCCACAAGAATAAATATATCTATAAATACTATCAAAAACTTGAAATAGTGTTTATTGAACAGTGCGTCACATATATAACTTTCTTCTGATTGGTTGTCGTTGTAACAAATTAACTAGTGTATGGTCTGCTGTGTTACTTTTCCTTTTTTTTCTTTCCGTTCTCTCTGCCTTTGTTAAGTTGCTTTTCTCTTTTTTTCTCTTGTTCAAATAAAACTATGAACATAGTTTCATCTGTTTGGTTTCTCTTTCCTAATTCTGTTCCTGGTAAATGTATTTGTACTACTTTTTATATTACGTGTTTGATCACGTATGGTTCAAATAGTAGATAATATAGGTGGGTATGATGATAAAAATTCAAGCGACTCGAACTAATAAAATTTAACAAGGAAGACATTTTTTAATTTAGTGCAAAAGTTTATGTTTAATTTAGTAGTAATTACTGCTGCGTAACTATTTAACGATTAAGATTGAGGAAGCTTTTGTATACGACGATTTTTAAAGAACAAGAAAAGAAGAAGTAATAATAACGTGTTTGTTCCCAAGATAAAGCTTATAATTGTTCTGAATTAGACTCTTACTGTGAGATCATTTTCCTCTTATGAGTTATGTTTTATGTGTCAATTCATGTTTAATTTAAAAATTACTTTTGTTTATTAAGGTACAAAGGGTGTATTAATTTATCCAAATGAATTATGATTTTATTATAATAGAAATATTATATGTTGTCAACATCCTCCTCGTCAACTGAAAATCGAATTGAAGATGAATTAATTTATTTGTTACCAAACAGTATCGGTCAAGGTCGATTAAAAATATTTAAAAATGCATTTGAAAAATTTAATTTAAAATCTGTTGATACATTTGACTATTCAACAACTAAATATGTTATTGCTGAAGATAGTCTAAATTTAAAAGTTATTTTAAACAAAATATTAAAATTAGAAGAAGAACAACAACAGCAAGAACCGACGCAAATACAAAGTAAGAAAGCCGGTTAGCGTAGTCCCTCTGGAGCTAAAATGTGTAACTCATCTAACTAGGTTTTCAGATCAAAAGCTATAGCATAAGAAACTATCCATATATTCTGTACTCTAATAAATGATGAAACACTGAATTTAAGATACTCTTTGCCTGGGATTCGGCATCTTCTGATTTTTTTGAACTTTTTCTGTCTCATTTCTGCTCTTTTTTGTTCAAAAGTCTATTGATTTTCTTGCTTTGATCTGGTATCTCTGCTTCTACTTATACGGCAATCTCTGTGTATCCCCTTCAGATACTCTCCATACACATTTAAGTTATTAGCCATGTCTATTTTTAGAATAGTCTTCCTACCACCGCACGCGTCAACAACGCTACAACTAAACACAAGAACAATTTATGACACTCTACACCTGGTTTTTAGACAGAATCTATACCAGCCTAAGACACACTTCATATACGTTTAGATAATTTACATAGTATTTTTAGATAGTATCCATAGGTAATTTATGACAATCTCGAGGGTGGAGTGGGAATAAATTTTTAGTGAAACCGCTATAGTCGATATAGACTGAACTTGTAATAAATGATAGAAATCACATCAGTATCTTATAAAATAAATATAGGTGTGAATGGGAAACGAAGAGCATCTGACCATTTATTCGTTCAAACTTTGTTATTGTCTCTCTCTTAATACATTTATTTTCTTGTTTAGATGTCGAAAATGTTATGAACAAAAATGCACCAGTTATCATAAAAACAAAATGGTTGAGTGATTGTTTAAAAGTAAAACGTCTGTTACCAATTGATAAATATATTATTGAAAAGAAAAAACCGAAACCAGCATCTTTACCTCCACAATTAGAACCCTTAGAATCAAGAGGGTTAATATCTTCAGTGTCTACGGATAATATCCAGTCAAGATTATCAAAAACAACATTAGAAGCAAGCACGGTTGCGCCTCTTCCTCCACCACCGTCAAGACATCGAACTTATTCATCAGAAAGTGAAAGTGATGATGAAAATACAAAGGTGAAAAGAGATCATTTTAGCCATTATGAAAGTTCTTGCCGTATAAAAGGAATGACTTTTAGATTTGCTTTCTTATCATCAGAAGATTCATCACATACTTCAGGGGTACTGTGTTCAAACCTCAGCGCTAGCAAAGTCATATAATAACTTTGGGCAAGTTACTTATGTCTTAGTGCCTCGGATCATCCGTCTAACAGCATCCTCACTACGTTGTGACAATACAGCTTCTCCGGCTAGGCCTCGTGGCTTTCTGAAAAGCTAGGACGTAGTTAGTGAAGTGTATAGAAGGAGCTCAAGTAATTAGGGGAAAGAACTCTGCGTCAGCCTTCTGGCCAGAGCTACAATTGATGACTAATAACGAGATGGATGACCATTTCAAAAGCTTGTCAACTGCAGGGAAGATATCAGACTATTGAAACTGCCATGGCAACATCCTACACCAGTAACGGTAGCCACAAGATGGGGTATTCCTCTTCCATCGGAAGATTTTTTTGATATTCTTTGCAAGGGTTGTGTTTTTTTTCCGTGTTACAATGTTTTTCTTGACGAAAAATATGTAAACAGATATTTCTGACTTTTCTAATTTTATGAGATACCTTCGCATTATTCTGTTATATTAGACAACAAAAGTTTCTTATTCACAATGCTCTGTGACTAAATGATATGTGCTTTATAAGAGAAACGAACTAGATGACAAGTATAAATCTAAGTTTTTAGATGGAAGACTAACTAACTAATTAAATCTTTCTTATTTATGTTGATTCATATTCTTGATTAAAATGAGTATCTTTTTTAGAATCCGATCGTGGAACAAAGTGGTAGTGGAACTCTGCTGGTACATACTCGAAAAGTCTTAAAAAGCGATCCTTTATGATTGTATTTTATCTTTTTTATTTTCTAGAAAGGAAATTGGCTTTGTTCCGAATCATGTCCAACAGCTCCCGTTGTAGCTCGACCAATTTTATCAAATTCAATTAGAAAGACGACTAATCCAAATCAAGAAATAATTGATAAATTACAAGTATGTCAAAACGATTCTCTTTCCATATCTGAACAAAAACTTTAACAGGGATTTGACTGATACTATTTACTTTTCATCTGGTTACTAGATATTAACTAAAGTGGCGAACACAAGTTTAGGATCACTTTTATTTTTGAATTTTCTCGTGAACTAAAGTAGCTAGAATAAATCCGAGAATAGATTTATGTAGAGAACACCTTAGAGTATCTAAGCATGTAAGAAGAAAAATTTTCATTTAACTTTAGCTGGTTTAAAGAAGATGAAATTTTAAAAATTTAAAAGCATTAAATTTTCAACTTTT